ATGATTTATCTGTACCTTTTTCAAACAAATCCACAATTTTAATTAAACTTTTGCTAATTCTAAACGTTAAATAAAACATAAATGGAAATTTTGTTTGCGCTTTTTATGTTTACATGAAATTTTAATATGTATATGCGACATGTAGTTACTAAGTGGTGGTAATCTAGTGATAAGAGATTTGAAGACAAAACGTAAACTTGTTTCCTGCTAAGTTTGATTTTCGGTGGAAACACTTCACTTATGTTTGACCAGTCGAAATGATGTCACGCTTTAAATATATTAGAAAATCCGGTGAGTGCCATACCTCTCAATCTGGGACCCCTTCTGGTTAGAAAAAAAAAACAGATAAAGAAAACTTGATATTGAACAATATTCGAAGCCTAATTATAGTGCATAGAAACATTCTTAGCTTGAGCTTAAATTTGGGCAATAAGTCCAAATCGGTTTTTTTCCAAGAAGAACAAATCGGTCTTTTCTTTCTTCTCATCAACTAAGCAATAAGTCAGTAACTTACAAAAAATGGACTAAACTCGTTTTTGTAAATGTTTGCTTGAGCGTCATAAATTTTCCCCTCACTTTGCCAAAAAATATGCATATACACACAGTAAATAGTAAGGTTTCTTTTTGGCTTTGAAAGAGAAATTGACTTTTCAAAGGGTTGAATTATGAGGCCGTATCTTCCCTGTTTGAAACTACTTTCACACTTGAATCATTTTCAACCTCTTAAACCCCCAAATAAGATTATAATATATTGAAACCAAGAATCTACAGATTTTTATCATCTCCATCCACAATGGGAAATTGTCTAAAACTTCTCAAAGAACAACCTCCTTCAATTGCTCTCATCATCCCTCCAACTTCAGGTACATCTCTGTTTTCTTAAATCCACTTTACTTTTTCTTTACATAATTCAAATATATATTTCTAAATGAAAAAGTGGAGCAAGAGAAGGAGAATTTGAAAGTGTTCAGCTTTGCGGAATTGAAGAAGGCAACTAAGAAATTCAAAGAATACACGGCCAAAATTAATGGTTATGAGAGTGCTTATATTCGAACATACAAAGGCTATATCAATGAGACCACATTTTCTCCATCAAGAGCTGAAACTGGCATTGCTGTTTCTGTCATGGAATGTGTTCAATATAATAGTTCACAGGCTCTACAAGAGTGGAAGGTAAGCAAACTCTGTTCATGTTTTAAGCATTTATTGTATACCTTAAAATCAATGATTAAAAATATCGGTATTTCATCTAGTTAAACCTAACTATTTGAGTTTCAGGAAGAAGTGAAGTCTCTGGGAGAGATTTCGCATCCCAATTTACTCAAACTTTTAGGTTACTGTTGTGAAGATAACAAATCCTTCTTGGTTTTTGAATACTTGCAAAACGAAAGTTTGGACTGTCACATTTTCGAAAGTTAAGGTCTCTCTAATCAATAGGTCCATTTCTAAAAGCCGGTCTAAACAATTTTGCTTTACATGTAAGTTTAATTTTTCTTTCAACAGAAGAAGAGGCATTACCGTGGGAAATACGGGTTAAGATAGCTATAGGAGCAGCTCAAGGTTTTGCATTTCTACACTCGGTAAAGACCAGCGCGCTGTACCGAGCATTCAGAATGTGTGACATTATGCTTGACGAGGTAATAATCACTATAGTTCACTCTTTGTGTTCTTATTGTTTATGATCTTACAAAACTTAAATCCCAAGTTTGGATTACATCAGCAATACAATGCGAAATTGTTTTATCTTGGATGTAACAAACTATGTTTGTTAGAAGAAAGTATCACGACCGCATTCATTGGAAGAACTGATTATACACCTCCTGAATATGTAATCTCAGGTACACCAAAATCTTTAAGTTTGTTTTTACAAAACATCTCCTGGTTGATCATTCATGGTTCGATTTTTAAAACAACTGTCCCATGTATATAGGTCATTTGGGAATGAAGAGTGATGTGTATACATTTGGTGTGATCTTGCTTGAGCTTCTAACAGGTTTAAAAGCTTCAGATGGAGCAAAGAACAAGAATAAGCAAAGCTTAATCTCGACTAAACCTTTCTTGTCCGATAAAGATAAAATCCGAGAAATAATCGATCCTCGACTTGGAAACGATTATCCTGTGAATGCGACGACGCAGATGGGTAAACTCATCAAAAGATGCATCAAGTTGGACGCGAAGAAACGACCACTGATGCAACAAGTTTTGGATGGTTTGAATGATATTGCAATGATTAAAGACTAATGTGTAGATTGTAAAATATTTTATAAGAAAAAAAAACTGAAAAATATGTTCTCATCTTAGAATATATCATAGATCAGGCCTCTAGTTTCTCACCAACTATAGCAACAAGTCAATAACTTTCTAAAATGGACTAAACCTCGTTTATGTAACTTTTTGACTCTGATAAAAATATTTCCCATATTTGCCTTATATGGATGTATTCATAGTTAATATTGTGGTTTGTTGTTTTCCTTTGCTTATGGCCTAAGTGAGCAAGTGACTCATCAAACGTGTTGAATTCTGAAGCAGTCCAATTTGTGTTTAAAGATTCTTTGACACTTGAATCATTCACAACCAAAATGTGTTAAGATTCTCGAACCCAAAATCTACAGATTTTTTTAAAAATGGGAAATTGTGTAAAATATTTTAAACAACAATCTTCTTCATTTGCTTACCAACCTCTTCTCATTCCTCCAATTTCAGGTACATCTCTGTTTTACATTTTTTTACATATAATGTTTAAATACGTAATTCAAATGTATATGTATAGTGGAGGCAGAAAACGAGAATCTGAGAGTCTTCAGCCTCAAGGAATTGAAAAAAGCAACAAAGAAATTCAAACAAGAGAGAGTAGTAATTGAAGACAATGACTCTGTTCGAACATTCTACAAAGGCTACATTAATGAGACCACATTTGCTCCATCAAGAACTGAAACCGGCATTGCTGTTTCTGTCATGAGATATCTTCAATATCGTTCACCAACTCTAAAAGAGTGGATGGTACGCAAAGTCTGTCCATTTTTCACTTAACTGTTTTTTTTTTTCTACATTTGTTACTTGTTAAAGAAACTATTGAGTTGCAGGAAGAAGTGGAATCTCTAGGGCAAATTTCTCATCCAAACTTGGTCAAACTTTTGGGTTACTCATGTGAAGATGACGAATCACGTTTCTTTGTTTTTGAATACATGCACAAAGGAAGTTTGGACCGTCACATATTCGGAAGTTAAGATCCCTTCAGATTATTGTGTCCATTCTATAAAATCAGTATAGAAAATTTTGATTTACATAAATACTTTTTGATGTTTTTCTCAACAGAAGAAGAAGAGGTATTGCCATGGGAAGTACAGGTTAAAATAGCCATTGGAACAGCTCAAGCTCTTGCATTTCTCCACTCGGTTAAGAACAGCTTGCTACATCTAGAACTCAGAATGCATAACATTATGCTTGACGAGGTAATTACTTTATTATTTCTTTCTTCTATATTTTTGTTTATGATAATAGAAATAAATACCTAAGTCTGGATTTCATCAGCATTAATTACAACGCAAAATTGCTTCATATTGAAACAAACCAACGACGTTTGGAAAAGGAAAATCGTCGACTCTTGGGGGGATTTGAATACTTTCCTCCTGAATATGCATCGATAGGTACACCAAAATCCTCACTTTTGTGTTTAGAAATTCTGTTTCATGTTTGCGATGTTCAATGCAAAGACAAAATGTGTGATGTATGTAGGTCATTGTGGAACGGTGACAGATGTTTACACATATGGTGTGATCTTGCTTGAGCTCTTAACTGGTCTCAAAGCTTTGGATAATGAAAGGAATAATGACAAGCGAAAGTTATCTGTTTGGACCGAATCTTTCTTGTCCGATGTTTATAAGATCGGAGAAATCATTGATCCACGACTTGGAAATGATTATCCTGTGAATGCAGCGACACAGATGGGCGAACTCATCAAAAGATGCATCGAGCAGGACAGAAGGAAACGACCATTGATGCAATAGGTTTTGGATGCTCTGAATGATATTTGCAGAGATTAAGGGCTAATGTGTAGAGGGAATGATATTTGACATTGGAAAAGTTTATTTGTAATAATTAAAAGAATCAGTACAGAGTTGCTTGCTAAGACAAAATTAATTGAATGGTATGGCGGTTAAAAGATATTTAAAGACAAGAAGCATGTTTTTAACTCTTCTTGCTCTTACCGTTTATGATCTTAACTAAAATTAACTCCTAAGTTAAGAATATCACGACCACATTCACTGGAAGAACTGACTACACATATACCTCCTGAATATGTATTCTCGGTACACAAAATCTTACCTTTTCAATCTTTTGATGTTAAGACAAATATGTAATGTTATACGTTTTAGGTCATTTGGGTACGAAAAAACGATGTCTATACATTTGGTGTTATCTTGCTTGAAATCTGGTTTGAAAGGTTTAGATAGAGGAAAGAAAGACAAAAGGTGTCATAACGGTATATAACAATAAAATTTTGGAAATGATCGATCTCGGACTTGGAAACGATTATCCCGTTGATGCGGTGATACAAAATGGGCAAACTCATCAAAATTGGACACGAAGAAACGACCGTCGATGCAACAAGTTGTGGATGGCTAAGTGGGAACAAAAACTTATGAAGGAAGGAGTTCACTTTATCCCCAACTTCTTTTACCATTTAGGCCACCATCACTTTGGTTCGTAGAAGGCTTGCACTTAAATTTGGGACCGTAGATATTTTCCCAAGAAAGTCAAATCGACATGTATTAGTATTTCTCACCAACTAAGCAATAATTAAGACAATGACTTACTAAAATGAATTAAACGCGTTTCTTAAATTGTTTACGTAAAGTCTTAGCATTTTTTCCCAAATTTGCCTTAAAATGGATATTGTGATAGTTTATACGGTAGTTTCTTGTTTTCCTTTCTTTTGCCTAAGTGAGCATTTAACTCATCAACGTGTTGAATTCAAAGGAAGTCCCAACTTTTTTTTGAAGAATCAGTTTTTTTCTTTAG